CTGGGAAAATGCTCCCTGGGTTCAAATCCTGCCTCTATCATATTCTAGCTGGGAGACTTTGGTCAAGTGGCTTTGCGGTCATCACACTTTCCCCATATTCTATACGAGAGTAATAAAAATTGCCATCTCCTAGCATATCGGGAAATTTAAGTTAGTTAATACATATAAAATGCTTCGAACAACAGTACTTGGCACATAGCAAGTGGTCAGTGTTAGCCGTGAACATCGTTACCTTCTAATCCCTTTGTTGCCTCAGGAGAGGAGTTCCGTTTCCAACAGTTCTTGTTTCAGTTATTAACAAATTCTTTTATATTTCCCGGCTGCCAAGTGGGGAAACTAAGTCTCGAGGTTATCAGAGAATACTGTGAACTGAACCCAGAAGGCAGGGCAGCTCCAGAGGTTAAAGTTCCTGGGAGTCAGTCCACTGCTGACTCAATGTACTGCCTGGAGCAGATCCCCACCTGGTCCCGGGGCAGATGCCCCCATCCTTAGAAAGATCCAATAAGGTGGTAGAGTTACCTTTTCTAAAAAGTTTCTTCTAAAAAAAACGTTTTATGCTTTATTTATGTTTGGGAGAGAGAGAAAGAGACAGAGCACGAGTGGGGGAGGGGCTGAGAGAGAGGGAGACACAGAATCGGAAGCAGGCTCCAGGCTCTGAGCCGTCAGCACAAAGCCCAACACGGGGCTCGAACTCACCAACAGCGAGATCATGACCTGAGCTGAAGGTCAACACTCAACCAACTGAGCCACTCAGGCGCCCCTCTAAAAAGTTTCTAAACTTTTCCCACTCCTTGGCCGCCAGGTCCTGAAGTCGTTTTCCTCTTTGGACTTGTGGCTGAAATCCAGTTACACCTGACTGCGGTGCAGATGGGGATCCTGATTGCTGATTGGCCGAGGGAAGGTTCCTGAAGGAAACCGCGGCCTCCCAGTGCACTCAGGCCTCAGCTGGAGTTCAGCCCCAGCTCTCCAGCTCCTACCCGCCAGAGGGGAGGGAGTTCTCTCCGCCCGGGGACCCACCCCGGAGCGAGCCTGGCCATCTGTCGGAATTCACAGTTCCTCTCCCCTACCGCGGGGCTCCCCTCCAACAGCACGCACCATAGGGAGCAAACTGCACGGGTCGGTGCTTAAATCCCCGGGGGCTTCCCGCTACAGCTGATTGGCGGGGGTGGGGGTGGGTGGCGGGGTGATTCCGGCAGTCGGCCTTAACCGGGGCCCTGCCCCCTCCGCCTCCGCCCCGGTGCAAGAGGGCTGTAAAATGCTGGAAGAGAGATTAAAAGCAGGGGATGGGTGGGGCGGTGAATCAGTACATTCCTTCCTCCCCCTGCCTCCTCCTCCCCGGTTATCACTTTGGGAGGGGGAGGGTCCTCTCTAGACCTTCTCCTGACCGGTCCATGGGGTCCAGACAAGCTAAGCGGTGCCGGGCGGGAACCTCCCAAGCTCAGCTGAACTTTGTAGAGTTGGATCGCTTATTTTGCAGCTCATGACCGCATCTGGTATCGGGTCGGGGAATTTTGGTCGTTGCTTCCAACTGGGTCTTTTCCATAAGAGTAGTTCATAGGTCTGTCAGTACACTGGTGAGTAGTTATTGAGCAAGCCCCTACTCTGAGGCAAGGTCTATGCTGGGTCAGTCTGTTGTTTTCCTAAAACTGCAGCGTAGACATACCTTCTCTCTTATTAGAGGCAAGGAATCAGAAAGCTCAAAGAGGGTAGGTAACTTGCCCAAGGCCACACGGTGGCAGAGCCGGAAATAATCCCAGCTCAATTGGTTTTATACATTTAAAGGGGAATTTAAGGGGCGGAACTGGGATTCCTGTACAGTCATAGTACAAAACCATGGTTAATGTCTATATAGTGCTTGATAGTTTACAAAGCACTTTCAGGATCTTCATTTCAGAACTGTCTCATTTCACAGATGAAGACAGTGGTTCATTCAAGAAGTTAAGCCACGTGTCCAAGGTCACAAAGCTAGAATAAGTCGCAGAGCCTGCACTTTTGAAACAGGCTCTGAAGAACCAGCGGTAGCAAACTTACTCCATTTATTCATTTCACAGTGCCAAGTACCATTCTAATAATTGTAAGAGTAGCTAACATTTACTGAACGCTTATTTTTTAAAAAAGCTTTAGTTATCTAAGTAATTTTTAGACTCCATATGGGGCACGAACTCACGACCCCAAGATCAAGAGTTGTTCCTGCTGTACTGGCTGAGGCAGCCAGGCGCCCCTATTGAATACTTATTATGTGTCTGGTGTTGTTCTACCTGAGTTATGTACACTAATTCCCCTGATGCTCCAAACTACCTTTGGAGGTAAGTACTGTTACCTTATCAATTTTACAGATGAGGAAATCGAGACTAGATGAAGTAACTTCGCAAGGCCACCCAGGGACTAAATGGCAATGCACTTCTCCGAGGGTCTTGTTTCTTTACCACATCACCATGACTTCTAACTCCTGTGTGTGGCAGGCCCACACAGCACCTGCTCTTAAGAAGCCAATGCTCTGTAAAACCAGCCAAGAATACTGCCAGCTTTGCTTTGCAGGGGCACTGGAAAGATTAATAAGCTAATGGCACTTGGAAGGTTTCAGCAAAGGCACTGGATAAACTCAGGGCACTCATTATGTGTGAAATTCGCTGCCAAGGGTGGTTCACACTATAATAAGGCGCCTGCAGCCAGTTCCTGATCTGTTTGAGGTGGGCAGCCTTCCTTGGGAAATCATTTGGATAAGGTCATTCGTGTTAGGGGTTAGAGCATTCCCCTGCTGTCCTGGGCGTGTGGTGGCATCATGGTTCTGTCACTTTATTTCCCTGAAATTCCGATCCCCCTTAAAATTTTTTTTGAGAGAGACAGACGGGAGCAGGGGAGGGGCAGAGAGAAAGGGAGATGCAGAATCTGAAGCAGGCTGCAGGCTCTGAGCTGTCAGCACTGAGCCTGACGCAGGACTCGAACCCACAAACCATGAGATCATGACCTGCACCAAAGTCAGATGCTGTGGGCTCTGAGCTGTCAGCACAGAGCCTGACGCAGGACTCGAACCCACAAACCATGAGATCATGACCTGAGCCAAAGTCAGATGCTCAACCAACTGAGCCACCCAGGCGCCCCCAATCCCTTTTAAAATGAGGATAATAGGGGTGCCGGGGTGGCTCACTTGGTTAAGTATCCGACTCTTGATTTCGGCTCAGGTATGATCTCACGGCTTGTGTTGGGCCTGGTGCTCAGTTAAGAAGAGCCTGCTTGGGATTTTCTCTCCTTCCTCTTCCTCTCTGCCCTTCCCCTGCTCGCGCTCTCTCTCTTTCTCTCTCAAAATAGACAAATAAACTTAAAAAATAAATGATCCCTTCCTTATAGTATTATTTTGAAGAGTAAACTTGATTATATATTTAAAACCAACTTACCCAGGGCTTAGGATAGTGTAAATGTGGGGCGCCTGCGTGGCTCAGTCCATTAAGCAGCCAGCTTCGGCTTAGGTCATGATCTCAAAGGTTTGTGAGTTCGATCCCTGTGTGAGGCTCTGTGCTGACAGTTCAGAGCCTGGAGCCTGCTTCAGATTCTGTGTCTCCCTGTCTCTCTGCCTCCTTCCCTGCTCAGGCTCTGTGTCTGTCTCTCAAAAATTAAAAAAAAGAATAGCATAGATGCTTAATAATTGGTAGCCACTATTGTAGCCATTATTGTCTTTCTTAGTTCTTATCGTATTATTTACTGTCATCTTACGGCCAGGCTGAGAGCTAGATGAGGGAAGAGTCATTCATTTGTTCAACCATGTATTAGATTGCCCCAGGTAGGTCAGTCTAAGGATGGGAGAATCAAGAAAATAGGTATTTACAATGCTCGTGATAAATGCTATGATAGGGGACTGCATAAGGTGTTTTGAGACTTTAGTGAAAGAATCGGTGACAGGGAGACTCAGCAAAAGTTTCGTGGAGGAAGTAGTTCTCTGTTTCAAGTCTGTGCTTCCAGGAAGTAGAAAATGCTGCCTGTTGGAGGCATACAGAGTGCAAATGGCAGCTGAGGCTGAGCTCCTTATCCAAGGGCCTTCAGGGCCTCTCAACTCCCACGCAGATCTGCCAGCCAGCCTTGCCCTAGAATACCCTCTCCTGGGCCACCTGCTGGTGGTTAACGTCTTGGGTTCTGTTCTGCGGCTTGATGTGGCTGAGTCATAAGCCCTTTCTTTTTATTGCTAAACTCTAAAGGAAGCCTTCTGGTCAGGAGCAATGCCCAGGTCTACCTTGTGGGGATGGCCTAATGATGACTACTGACCATTTCTTCTCTCCGCAGGGCCAGATGAACATGTGTGCGGTGGTGGTGAAGGGGAAGCAGCCTAGGGGGCAGGAGTCCCTTCTGGATAGGTGGCATTTCTGGGCAGGTGAGACATACATACTAAGGTGGACAGGGGAGATAGAATCCTCCTCCCCAGCTCTCATGGGTGAGCCTCCCCTCTTCCTCCCAAGCCAGTCTCCAATTTCTCTTTCTGGTTGCCATCCAGTAGTGGCCCAGACCAGTCTCCCAACTCACCCGTGACCACATTTTCCAAACCCAGACTCAGAACCCGTGGTCTGGCAAAGAATTAAAGAATTTCTGGTCACCTTCTAAATACAAGAGAGAATCCTGGATTCCCTAGGGTAATCTCTGTCGTTAAAGGGGACGTTGGGTAGGAAGCCTTTAAATTCAGGGTTTCCTCTTTATCAGACGTTTTTCATACTTCATATCATTGATATGTGAAAAGAGCCCTATGAGGTAGCTAACTATTTCCTCTTAATAGTTGAGGATACTCAGAGAGAGGAAATAACTTGCCCAAGATGCTCCTCCCGGAAGTTTGGTCTGTCAAGGAGGGTTCCTGGGGGGTGTGTGTGTGTGGTGGAGTTGGGGTGGGGAGAGGCGCAGAAGCATCTTTCACAATTGCAGACGCACATGCTATTTATTTGGGGCCTCGAGGAAGGGCAGCCAAGTACTGAGCTGCCCTGGTTGTCACTTTTGAGCTGGAAATCCCCGAGCAAAGGGCTCGGTCGCCGCCCCGTCCCATCAGGATCTGGCCCCAGGCCTCGCGGCTCGGGATGCGGGAAAAAGCCCTTCGACCTTGCAGGTTACAGAGCGGCCACCAGCCCTCGCCTGGGCCCAGGTGCGGATGGGGAGGGCACGGTGTGGGCGAACGACTCCACGGGCCACGTTCCGCTCCCCCCTTCCCCGGTCACATGGACGCGCCTTCCGCAGCCGGGAGTGCGGAGCGGAACGAACCACGAGGAGAAGCGGGGGAGGCGCCGAGGGCAGTGGGTCAGCGCCCCGCGGGAAGGGTGGGCGGGCCCAACCGCCCCGCGAGCCGGCCGGCCAGCCAGTCAGCGGGCGCGGGGGGCGGGCCAGTGGGCGCGCGCGCCGCGCCCCGCAGCGCCCCCTGAGGGGCGGCGGCGGGAGCTGGTTCCGGCTGCGCGCGCAGCGGTGGTGGCGGCGGCGCGATCGGCCGGGCTGTAACCGTCGTCCGTCCGGTAGCGGCTGGAGCGGCAGCGGCGGCCGGGCAAGGCGCGAGGCGACGCCACAGGGCAGCGGCGGGAGCGGGGACAGCGGCGGCAGCAGGAGACGCAGCGGCGGCCGCAGCAGCAGCAGCAAGACGGACTCGTGGACACGCGCCGCCGCCGCCGCCGCCGCCGGGCCGGGCCGGGTGTCGCGCGCCGAGGCTGGGGGGGAGTCGTCGCCGCCGCCGCCACCGCTACCGCCGCCGCCGCCGCCGCCGAGGTGACTGAGGAGAGAGGCGCCTCCTCGCTCCCGCCGCCGCCGGACTTCAATGCCCAGTCCCCAGCTCGCCAGCGTGAGTGCGCTCCTCCCGGGCGGCCCCCGCGCCGGCTCCCGGGGCCTCGGGGAAGGGGAGGGCGGGAGGCGCCGCAGCCATTAGTGCAGGCCCGAGACACGTCCCCGGAAGGAGGGCCGGGCCGGGCCGGGGGCGGGGGGAGCGCAGCCGGGAAGCGTGGAGAACGAGGGTGAGTGATGAAGGGGGGACGGTGCGTGTGCAAGAATGTGGAGTGTGTGTGTGTGGGGGGGGAATGTGCGTGCGTGAGGGGGACAGGCTAAGTTGGGGAGAGGGCTGGGCGTGCATGTGGGGGGTGAAAGACGGGGTGGGGGTGTGTGTGGATGGGAGAGTTGGGGGCCGTGTCCGGGGGCAGTGTGTGTGTGTGTGTGTGTGAGTGAGTGCGGGCGGTGTGTAGAGATGGGGGGAGGGGAGTGTGCGTGGGCGACAGGGGTAAATGGGGGAGAGTGAGGAAGTGGGAGAGGTAGAGAGCGTTCAGTGTATGGGGTGGGGGGGCGGATATGAGTGCTGAGTGAGAGGGAGGCCGGGGAGAGGGTGAATGGCAGATGAGGGAGCGTGGAAGGGTGTGCCTGCGATTGTCCAGCGTGTGAGCGGGCATCCAGGAGACTCCGTGATCGTGATCTCTGTATATGGCGGCAGTGAACCCTCGTGTCCTAGGTTAGGGGGTTCTTTCCAGGAGCGTCTTGTTCCCTGGGTTCTTGGGTTCCAGTATGAGGAAACGGTATAGGAGTCTGTCCAGTGGCACTATAATCTTCTCGTTCCGGAATTTATAAAAAGAAAGGTCGTGTTTTTTCGGAAGGGAGGGTGTGTGTGAATATTTCCCCCATGTTTTAGGACATCGATATATATTTCTAAATTTGCCAAGGACGAGGTCGTCATCCCATCCTAGTCTGGCCCTCTGAACAAGCCTGTCACTCTTTAGAGCGTTCAGAAGCATAGATTCTTTTGTAAAGCGCTGCTAGTGTTCAGGTGAAAGGTATCTTGTTATTAGATAAGTGGAAAGAATTTTTGTTAGGTTTTGGCTCTTTTCTACCTTCTGGAGAAGAACTCTTAAGAAAAAATAATGTATCATTGATGACGATCAAGAAGAACCACAGGCTAGTTTATGTTATCATTCCCTGGAGTTTGTCAAGAAACAGATAAAGTGGTTAGCAGTTCTAGCATCACCAGAGACCTGCTTGACTGTTTGGAGACCCCAAACTACAATGGCTGCGGGATTAGAATATGGTAGTTATTGAGTAGTTTCACACAGGAAGTGAGTGAAGTTATGCCATGTTGAATGTGCAAAAGGAAATTAAGGCTACAGAAGAACACAATATTAAGGCTCCAGAATCACTTGTGTTGGTGAAGATGGTGAGAAGTTGGTTGCCTGTATTTTTGATCTGACATTTTCAAAATGGTTTCATGTTAGAGTGAAAAGACATTTTAAAAAATGTTTGTTTGTTTATTTTGAGAGAGCGCGCGCAGGCATGGCACACGAATGAGTGGGGGGGAGGGGCAGAGAGAGAGGGAGACACAGAACCCAGAGCGGGCTCCAGGCTCTGAGCTGTTAATGGACTTTGCCAGATTCTTGTGTTGTGGAAGTATGGGTTTTTGATAAAGAGTACTTGGAATGGATTTTACACCTTAATGATAAGTTTCTTCGAAGTTTGGAGTCTTTCAATATGATAAAGAGTAGACATAATCGAATAATAGACCAAACCATCTATGTGTAATTAGAAGTCAGGAATTATATTTTCCTAGAGTGTCCTTCTCAATCACTAGCATCCCATTCTCTTTGCTTTCAGTAGTAGTGAATAGTATTGTTAACTAATATTCAGTGGGGGACTGGATTAATTAGTATTAAGTGCCTGTTACTCACCAGGTACTTTTTACACTAATTTAAATCTCACAGCTACTGTGAAGGTTGTAGGGGTGCTCATTTATATTTATTTGGCACATACTGAGTGGTTTTTGTTTGCTAGGCACTTGGGATACAGTGATGAGCCCTCCATGACTTACAGTGATGAGATGAAGAGATACAGAGACTCAAAGAGGTTAAGTAACTTGTCCAGGTCACAAGATAATAAGAATTAGAGCGGGATTAAAAACCCAGGTCTGTCTGACTCGAGTCCTTGGTTTTTCCACTACACCATCACCACTCTCGCAGTAGGTCGTCTCACTTTGAGGTTTCTCAACCACACAGTGACCTAGCAGCTTGTACAGATGAGAAATGTTGAATTTAATGCAGAAGACTAGATGGCCAGAGGCAAAGGGATCATTTAGGAGATGCTGACTTGAGGCTCTTTGGGGCCTAAGCTAGGCTTTTATGTGGGTGGAGATTCTGCCTTGAAACTCTTGGGGCCCCAGGGTGTGTGCTTTGAGACATAGTTTTTATGAGGCACCTGGGATATGTCTGGGAGAGGAAAGTCTGATTAAAGAAACCCATCAGCCTTTTATGTTTTTTATTTTGGGGGAAGGAGAAAGAGTTACTGGGGCTAATAGTCAACTAGAAGTTGTCACTCTTACGTGAAAGTCTTTCTTTTCAGCTGTATGAAGTATTTAACTCAAGAGATTATGAAGTCAAGTGAGAAAACATATGTGGAAGCACTTTGTTAATTATAAATTGAACTATATAGATTTAAAGTATTACCACCATTAAGACTTTCTGAGGCAACAGTTATGTTTAGTAACTGGAAAAAGCTAGCATTTAGGACACCTATACAAATGAAAAATTGTTTAGAACTGCTGAACTGGGTATGTTCTGACTCAGAACAGCAAAAGTCAAACCACTCCCTCCATGAGTCAGTCAAGTAATATTTAATTTGAACGAACTGAATTTATAGGCAGAAGCCATTTACAACATCATTGAACTTTGGTGGCACTAGGAAGAGTAAATGTTTGAATGCTTTTGCGTATAACTTTAAGTTTGAAAGTCTCGTATTTCCTTGAAAAGATATCTGTGTGAAATGAGGTAAAATAGATTTATTTTTCTTAGGATTTAACTCTATTTAACAATTTGTCTTAAATTTTTTTTTTTAATGTTTACTTTTGAGAGAGAGAGAGAGACATTGTGAGCTTGGGGGGGGGGGGGAATGCAGAGAGGGAGGGAGATAGAATCTGAAGCAGGGTCCAGGCTCTGAGCTGTCAGCACAGAGCCGGGACATGGAGCTCACGGAGCTCGAACCCACAAACCCTTCAAGATATGACCTGAGCCGAAGTTGGAGGCTTAAGTGTCTGAGCCACCCAGGCGCTTCTTAACATTTTTTCTTTTAAAGGTAAAAGTTTTGTAGCATAGTTATAGAACTTTATTATTATTATTATTATTATTTTAATGTTTGTTTATTTTTGAAGGAGAGATAGAGCACCAGCAAGGGGGAGGGGCAGAGAGAGAGGGAGACACAGAATCCAAAGCAGGTTCCAGTCTTTGAGCTGTCAGCACAAAGCCCCAAAGCAGGGTTCGAACTTATGAACCATGAGATGATGATCTGAGCTGAAGTCAGATGCTCGACCTACTAGTAAAGCCACCGAGGAGCCCCATAGTTATAGAACTTCTTACGATTTTGAGACAAAGTTGAAATTCAGTAGAGGTTTATTTAACAGGGTTTATACTGTTCCTTTTCGTTGGAATATGGGATTGGTAACCAGTGAAGCCTCTAGAAAAAAGCATTTACAAATAAGATGCAGAGTGGCAGTACATACATTTTTAGCTGTTGGTCTTGTAAGAGTGAAACTTAGAGTGAAACCCCAGTTAGAGTGATTTCTTCAAATACTGTATAATCAGCTATGTTACTTATAGAAGTTGGAGGAGCTTTAAACATTTTGAACAACTGAAAATCAAGACCCATCATTTTAACACGGTAGACTTAGTTGTGTTTAGTGAGTAGGGCAGCGGTAGAGATCTTGAGGTTTTAGGATACTTGTGATGTCCAACATTGTTACATTCTAAATTTCAACATTCCCTTCTTGAGAATCTTATCTGTGCTGAATCGTAAATCTTCTTACTTAAAATTCATAATCCTTTGAGTCAGTGGCATTCTTTAAATTGTGTAGATAAAGAAATTGATTTATAGAATCAATTGTTGAATCCCAGGTTTTGGAATCCAAGTTAAAGAGTATCAGTAAAAAGATGGCAGTGGATAAAAAAAAAAATTCCCCTTGAGGCTTAAAGTACTTAAATCTCTGGCTAAACTTGATTTTTGAGTTAACTCTGGTCATTTTATAGGGAGGTATATAAGTTAAGTAGATGTTAAAGAAGTTGGCCTTGGGGCACTTGGCTGGCTCATTCGGAGGAGCATGTGACTCTAAATCCCGAGGCCATGAGTTTGAGCTTCACTTTGGGT